ACAAGGTAACTAGTACTTGATTTAACCCTGAATCTTTTGTGCTATCTTCCTTACCTTAACTTCAAATTAGGTTTTCCTCTTTTGGTCCTATGGTTGACATATTGTGGGAATTATTAGATCGCTTGTCCTACCTACTGTTTTTGTACTGGATGGCTTAACATTAGACTAGTGAACTCAAACAGAAAGCAAGTGAATCCAATTAGTCCTCAATGAATACTGATGTATGTGACAACATAAAAAGAGAATGTACAAGGTCGGTCTGGTCGTAATGTGAACGAGTGAGGAGAAAATGTTGCTGAGGGTAAGGTCAATTTGTATTTATCCGTTTCTATAAATGCTTTTCAAACCTGTCAGAGAAAGATAATGCTCTAAGACTTATATTGAACAACTCCTAATTGATAGAGATTGAAGTGGTGGCATATGTAGACGACTTGATGACAAAGCCTCAGATTAGATATAGAAGGCGCGTCTGGTACCATCTCTTGCGCCGACAGGCAAGATATTCGACCATCTGTCAAAGGATGAGTATACCGCACTACAGTCTGTTCTGTTCTGTTATACGGCTGTGAGACATAACTTTAAAAAAAAGGAGATATGAAGTGATTACACAGCTTTGATCACAGGTATCTTCGTTCCATCACTCTCATATGGTGGAATCATCTTGTAAGCAATGTTAAGGTTAGGTAAAGGGTACTAGGTGACAAGACAGGCAATTTGATTTATGAGGATGTAGACTTTAGTCGACCGAAATGGCTTGTACGTGTGTTGCATATGCCAAGTCACCGCCTACCTCAATATTCCATGCTAGTGGAAGCTGCATTGGGTTGCAAGAGGGTTCAAGGTGACCAGATCAAGATTTAGCACTAGTTCATGAAGTCTCTCACTATTGATTTGAGGCATGTGGGGAAATATAAACTAACTGGCTGGGGTCCGCGAAACGAATGAAGTCAGTGGTTCAGGACTCTTGATGATATCACTCAAAATTAGTCTCACTGACGCGTCAGTGTATTCACTCGTTGATATATTTTAAGGCTTCGATATTTCCACTTTCCGGTGTCTTCAAATTGCTGTTGTTCCTTGTATATTACTGTGAACTGTGGAGCCATAGATCGAAACACTTCTATGCAATGATCCACGTTGATTTCGTTTGTCTGTTTGTCTTCTCTTCATCTCATGCAGAGACAGAACATACAAATTAAAATGTAAAAGTAAATATAAAACAAACAATATGAGCGAAGAAATATTTCTTTTCATTTAGTTCCTCATCAATAGCTCTACACTAATATATGTAGCATTTTCAAAACATAAAATTGCACACCAATCTAGTGGTGAGAGTGTATGTCGGAAACCAGCGTCGACAGGTCATTATACCCACTTCTCGAGTTTCGTCCCCTTGCAATATAAACGAAATCTAGTCAAATGTTTGGTCCATCGGGCTAGACTTATCTGTTCAGATGATACTTTTGAAGAACAGCTTCAAATTATTTATGATCTACTCATTAGTAATGGATATCCAGAAACGTTTCCGGCTAGAAATATGGACACGTTCAATATGAAAATCAGAATACCTACAGTCTCCAAGAGACCATTGTTCCTATGATTACAATTTCGAGGTGATATCATCAATGAAATTGTGACACAGCGCTTAAGAAATGAGGTAAGAAGATCATTTAATGCCGCCAAGGTTATGCTGCATATTCTATAATCGGTTGATGATGATCATGCGAATCAAATGCAGACTACCTGACTTCTCCTCTTCTATGTGCATTTACCAGTTAGACTGCTCCTGTGGAGCTAGTTACATTGGACGTACAGTTAGGCAAGTCCGTCGTCGAATCGCCGAGCATCATCCTTCATGGCTAAGTAAGGGGCGAACCAGATCGATATGAAGCTTAATACTCTGACATCTGATTGACACCGGCCACCGAGTTAACGTTCATAATGTCTTTAAAGTTATTTATCACAGTGAGAGAGAGTGAGTTAGAGTTGTTTAATGGAAGGTTATCAATCTCAAAGTATCAAGAAGGTGATAATTAATCAGATAATTAACTAAAGCACAGATTAATTATAGTAGAAAGATTTTTTGAAATTTTCAACAGGTTGTTACGTAATTCATATTTTGTATAATGGTATAATGGTATAGGGCGAAAATAAACTATTGTGTAAAGTGGTAAATTGTTCACGGTAATTAGAGAGAGTGGGGGGGGGGAACAAGATGGCTAAAACTGTAATAATAATAATGATAGCCATAATAGAGCTATTAAAATATTAGTTATAATCAATTTTGGATGAATTAAATGAAGGGTCTTGTTGTAATAAATAGATAAGCTATGCAGATGGCCAAGGCAAAGAAAGAGGCTGTACAAATTTCGTCTGAACATACAGGCTTGGTTTGTTTAGGTGGATTCCTATGGCTTCTGCTGTATGTAAGAGACGGACTCGTAGAGCATGGGTGAGGTTAGAAGGAATATGATAAATAACTTTAAAGGCATTATGAACGTTAACTCGGTGGCCGGTGTCAATCAGATGTCAGAGTATTAAGCTTCATATCGATCTGGTTCGCCCCTTACTTAGCCATGAAGGATGATGCTCGGCGATTCGACGACGGACTTGCCTAACTGTACGTCCAATGTAACTAGCTCCACAGGAGCAGTCTAACTGGTAAATGCACATAGAAGAGGAGAAGTCAGGTAGTCTGCATTTGATTCGCATGATCATCATCAACCGATTATAGAATATGCAGCATAACCTTGGCGGCATTAAATGATCTTCTTACCTCATTTCTTAAGCGCTGTGTCACAATTTCATTGATGATATCACCTCGAAATTGTAATCATAGGAACAATGGTCTCTTGGAGACTGTAGGTATTCTGATTTTCATATTGAACGTGTCCATATTTCTAGCCGGAAACGTTTCTGGATATCCATTACTAATGAGTAGATCATAAATAATTTGAAGCTGTTCTTCAAAAGTATCATCTGAACAGATAAGTCTAGCCCGATGGACCAAACATTTGACTAGATTTCGTTTATATTGCAAGGGGACGAAACTCGAGAAGTGGGTATAATGACCTGTCGACGCTGGTTTCCGACATACACTCTCACCACTAGATTGGTGTGCAATTTTATGTTTTGAAAATGCTACATATATTAGTGTAGAGCTATTGATGAGGAATTAAATGAAAAGAAATATTTCTTCGCTCATATTGTTTGTTTTACAAAAGGTATAAATGCGAATTTTCGCCTTATTGTAAAGTAAATATGATTACTGATAGTTAGAGGTAAGAACTCATCTTCAAAGTCACACAAAAATGATCGATGGTGTAAAATCTTTGCTCTCAACATTAAGATGACTTTGATGTTTACGATTTAAGCGTTTAGATAATTTCTCAAGCTCAAGATTATTTGAAATATCTTTCTGAACAATTTCTCCTTCAAAGATATCCATTGAATATGAGCAATGTCTTTTGAAAACTTATGGAAACTCATCAATAGAAACTTATCAAATGTCAACAACATACACTGGTTAACTGTATGGCACAAACAAATATCGTTTGCACTGAATAATCATAAAAAGGTAATTAAGATGTGTCATCTTAGAACTGTACGATGAGATCTGATATTTCTCGACATTGAGGAGAAAAACCACTTCAATTAAATTACCTATGGTTTTCCCTGGAATTCAAAGGAATCCCCAGAATTCCCAGGAATACTCAGAATTCACCCAAAAGATTGATAATATTATATATAATTCGAAGATTTTGTAGAAAAAAAACAACTTGCATGTTTAAACATTCACCCTGTCAGTCTCAGATTTAGGTTACGTTAAAGTTTGGTAATTAGAAAATTATAACACCACAGATTGTTAAATGTTTCAAATAGTTTAAAGTTTCCAACATCAGCTTTGTCAAAATGTAGTGGCTGCAAAACACGATACGCGTTGGTGAAGCTTCTGAGGTTTGACTAACCTTTGAAAAAGACACTGCTTCCTATGACAGTCCATTTTAATCTGGCTTTCATGATCTCATAGTAATTGATGAAAGGGCCCAGTGATTGAGTTAAACCAACATAAACCTTTTGCAAATTTATAAACCTCTTTCTACTAAGATATTTACAACCAAGTAAAAAAAAACACTGAAATACACCCTGGAAACTGATTATACTGAAATATAAATTACTCAGTATGGTAGATCATCATCCATACATGTAGTAGGATGCTGTCAGTTACGTTTTTCTCACAAAAACTTAAAAACTAACCGGATAATTTCAGCTAAAATCCTATTTTATCACACAAAATATCCAATAAAATGGCTCCATTATATATAAGATAATGTTCAACTCATCTATCTTACGAATTACCGATTACACACTATGACTTACTTCCGAATTTCGATCATACTGACATGCTGAAACCTTGCAAAAATTTCAGGAACGTGAAAATGTTGAAGTAGAACTTAAACTACTTAATACATTGTAAGTAGTATAAGTATAACGAATAAATAACCCAAGTTATTGTTAATTAATTTCCTTACGGTTATGCCTCAAATTTCAGACACATGTATGATTAGTATGCACATAAAAATAGTAAAAAAGACGGATACACAAGACAACTACACAAAGTTATTGTATACTCATAAAGAGTTAGGTAAGCAAACAAAATTCACCTCAGTCAGTATTAGCAACATTAGTAAGTAGTATTTTTTTTTATCGCTATTAATAAAAATTCTTGACATATAACCGGGAAACAGTTAAGTGCTGAGACAGTGTGCAAACATGATCACATGTTAAATTTCAATGGCCTTGACTTGCATTGAAACACAAAACAATCAAAGGAAATAAAAGGTGACTACCTTACATTAAAATAACAGCAAATAAGTGGTTATGTATAAATTCCATTTAGTGAGAATAAAGTAAGTTAGCGTGCTAATATACATAAATGCACACACACACACAAAAAGTTACTACTGTAGCGAAGATAATACTGAAAAGAGTAAACATGCCTTCAGAAACTGTATCTTCCACAAGTGTAGATGGCAATAAATGATCATTCTTTTCATTAGTCTGAAACTTTAAAGATAAAAATAAGGAAATAAATAATCCCTTTATATCGATGAGTCATATAGTTTGTTACATAGGACTCACTTTAAATGAATGATTCTGTAACCAATTAATCATCATAACCAGCTCTGATTAAAATTGTAACTTCTTAGAAAATGTAGATGATTTTGATTTTAGCGATGTATAATGGATAGCTGTAGACTTCAGGAGATGCGATTCGTCCTCTCTCGGACTTGTTAGCAGGAAGTATCAGCCTCTCAGTGAGCAATGTCATCCCTTAAATGATTCGAATCCAGCACCGGTGGCTTCAAACACTAGAGCGTTATCTACTACATCACTGAGTCACGATTTATCACTTCTTGTGTTGTTAGTATTATTTCGTCGTTGAGTGGATTGAATTAATGCGTTTCTATCGGGACATGGTCTCTCAAGTAGATTCGTCGATATTCCCTATTAATGATGGATAGTGGCTAGCAGTGGAACCCAGCTTGATGAACGTTTTATCCTATTTCGGAGTCGTCAGGTGAATGTACTTGCCTACCACTGAGTGATTTTGTTGCCATCAGGACTCGAACTCAGAACCAATCACTTCAAACACCAGATAATTGTTCACTAGACAACCGATTCTCGAAAGCCACATTTTATATGACGTGTGAATTTCTAATTTTGTTGTTTGTACTATCCTATCGTGGAGTGGACTGAATTGATGGGTCTTTATTGGGATATGGTCTCCTAAGTAGATGCCTCGATACTGTCTATGTTTGAATTATATACTAATGGTGGGCAGAGGCTAGCAACGGAACATAGGACGCGTGTTTCGTCCTAGTCTAAATTTTTCATTATTAATCTAAAGAGGAAATATAGGTAATATCGAAGCATCCGCGCAGCAGCACATATGCCAATAGAAACGAATCAGTCCTGTCCAATCAACGACGGGATTACACAAGCAACATCACAGAGGTGATTTTCTTTACATCCCTCCTATTATTCATTAAATACAGACATGTATATCTCATGGTAACAGTTGAGTTCACCTGGTTTCAACTAATAGGTATATAGAGGCACTATTCACTATGGACTGACGTCAATTGGGGGACCATTGAAAATCTGGGAGGACTGGACACCTGCTTCGTCCTAGAGTGGGACTCCTCAGCAGTTTCATTTGAAGCCGTTCTATTTGCGACTCGTCAGTTGCATGTACCTACCTCCCAGTGAGCGATGTTATTCCCACTGAAACTCGAATTCTAGACCGATTGCTTCAAATGCCAAAGTATTACAACCAACACCATTCAACATATTCACTCCTAGGATAGGAATGAACATCATTCGTGTGACATTAAGGCAAGGTTAAATGCCAACCCTAATCAATCGACTCAAAATCTATGTTATCCAAATCAACATAGGACCAGGCATTACTGCGTAACGGCCCGAGTTGCTACGACACCTCATATCACTACATCAGGTAAAATGGCAGTCAGGTAAAGATGAAGAAAAGAAAATTCAGTCAAAAGAAATATAAAGTATTAAAAGAGAGAAGGGACGAATAAGATAATGGTGAGACTCAGCAGAGCGTTAAGATGGAGATAATATGTGTATACAACTGCACCGCTGACATCGGTTCTGAACCATTTGATCACTTACAGTCTCCAACCACTGATTTCTCTTATCCAGCGGACGCTAACCGGCTGGTTTGCATCGCGACACATGACTCAAACACTTATGCCATGTTTTAGTCTAGCCGCCCTGAGCCTTTTTCTAGCCTGAACCTACTTCGGTCAACATTGTGTGAAGAGGCAAACGGCGACAAGGCATACGTAACACATGTTCCAGCCATCTCAGTCGATGAAGGTTCACAACCTAGTCAACAGACTTACCTCTTTTCCCTCCCTAAAACTCTACACCTGACTTTTGTGTTGCTCAAGTGGTGACACCACGGAATATGTCCTATGCTACGAAAGCAATGGTGTTCAAACACCTGAAGCTGCCTTCTCATGTCTTCCACCTTCAATGGACATGTTTTACAACCATACATTAGAACAGACCGGACTGCTGTGCAGTACACACGACCCTTAGCAGATAATCGGATATCGTGGCGGCGCCACAGGTGGTGTGGATTGGCAAAAGCCAGTCGAGCCTTTATATTCGTGCAGAGATTTCATCGGGCACTGAGCTAGCAGGTCAGGGCTGATCCTACTTCCCAGATAAGTGAAGTGGTCGACTGAAAGTAGAATAGAATATTTATACTACTTTGTCTTGTATATGTTAACTGGGAGAAATATTGTAGGTTTACCAGAACAACACTATGGAATTCTATTCGTTATCTTTCCACTGCAAACTTACATGTGTTGAAAGTGTTGATGAAGATGAAGACGTTGAATCTGTAAAGTAAAAAAAAGGAACCTTTGATAACACAAATAATTCAGATAAAAACTATGGCGTTAGTTTTCACATCTATGACCTCAAAACTGAATGACATAGAAGTGGAATTACTGAAGGGAAACCAGTTTCCTTTTGGTCATAGTTACGTCTTGAAGATGATTCTGATAAATATAGTTCGTGTGTGAATCCATTCATAGACAGTGAGCCATACTTATTGAGTTTCAGGGTCAATAATACTAACTGATTCCCTAGACTTCAGCAGGTTGAGCGGGTTTCAAACTAGTAAACCAGTGAACCAAATGTCATACATCCTAACACTTGATTCTAAGACATATCCGCTAGACTAACCAACTGTCTACTTTGAACAGTCTCACAGACCTCAATAAGCCGAAAGGTATAATAAAAAATACAGCAAAACTATGAAAATTAAGAGATAGAATGAAAAAGAGAAGGTTGACATTCATAGCTAGTAACTAGATCCAAAGTAGCAACAAAGGTTCAACAACGTTCTGTTAGACACACAATTCTAGTGTCACCGTATATATGTAACCCTTTTAAAAATGATTCACATTGAACAGCTAACATACTTGGCATCATAAGAGCAGGTGAATTGACAATCATGCATGAGGAAGCTTATCCTTTGTGTTCCCAGGAATTACTTTATGGCTGGAGAATATAAGCAAGTTAGAGATTAATTTACCAAGATATCAGTACTGAAGTCACCGTTGAAGTCCATATTTCTATGTGGTACCTTCTTTGAAGCTGAAATGCTTATCTTCCTTCGTGGTTTAGGCCTTTTGATTTTGTCCACAGATCATGCTGTGTATTCCTTTTCAGCTGGGATATTTTTGAAAAATATAAGTTATCCTTCTAAAGTAATCACTGCTGCAGGTAAATATTTTTCTCTTCGATCTACATGTGTACAGCTGTTTAACAAACATTGTAAATGTTTTTTTCAAATATTGAGGACAGTCGAAAATCGCTAACCGATGTGCTTATGAAAGCGAAGGAAACTGCATATGCTTGACCGATGAAAAGATCCTAGAACATTTGGATTTCGCCGATGATCATTTATGTCTAATGCCACACAAACTCAAAGATCTACAGGCAAAAACCAACATGTCGACAGAAAAGACAGAGCAGCAAAGACGTCACCTCCCTCAGGGGAATGTAGAGAAGACAGAGGTGATGGAGATACCCAACCAACAACAACAGCGAGCACCAATCATCGTCAATGGGAGAAATCTAAAGCAAGTTGTCTCTTCCACCTACCTAGGGAGGGTGGCGTCATTCCAACTACAGGTGGCAGCACAGCCACAGATGAGGATTTCAGAGCCAGGAGCGATCGGAAAGACAACAAGACAGACCTTCCTGCATTAATCTGAAATCAGTGTGCAGATCTGCTGCACTCAGCATAAAGAACAAGATATGGATTTTCAACACTAATTCAGTCAAGTCAGTGCTTCTATATGGTTAAGAGACTTAGCGCGTCATGAAAAGCCCTTCCAACAAACTACAGACATACATGAACAGCTGCCATCTACGCTCATTCTGTACTGAAGATCAGATGACCAGAATAATACAAATAATCAAGGAGAAACTCTGGCCTGGCAACGAACCAACCACACAAGAACCTACCGTCCAACAAATATGCACCAGAAGAGTGTGGAGATGGATTGGATTGGACATACATCGAGAAGAAGGTTTGGGGATATCATGCTTCAGGCCAGTCCCTAAAATGGAACTCAAGTGGGAAACGACGAGCTGGGTGTCCAAGGGTGAGATGGAAGAGGAGGTGTGAGGAAGAAATGAAAGCTAGTGGGCAGTCGTGGAGCCAGGTTAAAAAGATTGCAGAAAAGAGTGAAATGGTGACGTTCTAGTAAAGCCGTTTGTTCCACTAGTAATCCAAAGAACATATCATAAGGTGAGATAGAAAATTCTGGAGCTGTGGAGTATGAAAGACGAGTCCTAAATAGTACGAAATGCGTGTCTTGGATTCCTCTCCTAGCCATAACTAACCAAAATAATCATAATTAACATTCAGGCAATATCGGAGCATTCGCGTACGAGTTCATATGCCAAAAGAGGTCAAAAAACTCGAACCAGTAAAACAATGGAGAATTACAAGCATATCAAAGTGCAGAAGAAAGTGGAGATGGATTGGATTTGACATACACTGAGAAGATAGTTTGGGGGTATCACGCGTCAATAACACAGAAAGTAAGGAAAATTCATGAGTCCAATAATCACCTGAATTTTCCTTCTGGATAGGCATAGATGGTTTTTCATTCTGTATAGTAGTGATATGTATTTTGTTGATTCCAGATGAATGTATTAATTCCACATGTTCTACTGGAATACCATCAGTATTATTATTTTTTCCTTCAACTGAGTTTTTCTCCTCAATTTCAAAATCATCTTCATAAGCTAAAAGAAAAGCCAAAAATTTGGTTATACGAATTATACTACTGAATACAATAACCAGTAGTTCAAATCAAACGATTAAAATTAGTGAAGCAACGATCAAATTTGTTTTTCAGCTTACAGTTGATTATAATACAAGTAAGAAATTAAAAGTATTTTGCTCTTTTTTTTATACTTTCAAATCTCTGTCAGTCTTTGAATACAGAATTAAACAGAAGAATCGAGTTGAAATACATATTCGGTGTTATTACTTAGTATTATTATTATTATTATTACTAATCGGGATACTATGCTTAGCACTGTCATCCTCATTATTGCTCGCATCTAACCTGCTAGAAGAAATGATAGGATTTGTTATCTTTTCTTTAATTTAATTCGGTTGTTCGGTGGATATCTGACTTATATCTTCCTCTTCTTCTTCATTATCATCAGAGTCATTATCATCTTGCTAGTCCATCCTCTCCTCACCTCCCCAATGATTATGGGAAATACTATTATTCCTGCCTCTGGATCTATCCTGATTGCAGTTATTATTATTCCTGACCTCCTCTTTGTTATGTTGTTTTTTTTCCATAGTTATCGAAACAAAACATCACTGAAATAAGGAGGTTGAGCTACTATTCTTGGCAAGACGTTTCCAATCAAATACAGTGAAGAGTTCATATAACAGAGAGACATTTTAATGACTCTTTCATCAGATCCAGAGACCTTTTTTTAATCATAAAACGGATCATTTTTAAGTACTTCTGTTTTTTATGCAGTTTCAGATTACTTGGTTCACTTTTTCCGAATTGATATAAAGTTGAAACTGTTTTGTTTGGATAAGTGTCACTTTTTTTTCAAAGAGATATTATTTACGTCATCAGGTAAACAAGTATGATCATTCATTATGCATGAGTTTTCAAAATGACGTTTGTTTGCAGAAATATTTGGACTTTTAGATTGAAATTCATCATGGACTGACATCATTTGGAGTAACATTGTGAACCTAGAAGCATTGGATATCTGTTTCGTCGGATTAGTATGGGACACCTCAGCAGTGCGCATCAATGACCTCGTCCTCCAGTGATCGAACCAACCGCTGCCACCACGTTAACATTGAGCCATTGGGTGGGCATCCAGTGGCCAATATTTCCTACTTCCTACATGAAATGTTGTCATTGAATGACCGTCCTCATCTTCGACTTGGTTGACTCCACTGGTCACGACATCTCCTTGAGACTTCGAGAATCCCCTAAAATCAATTATTAAATCTTCGATTGAATTTTGAGAGAGTTGTGGAGATTTGGAAATATTTCAAGTTGTTATTCATCGTAGACTGACATCAGTTGGCGGAACAAAGGAAACCTAGGAGCACTGGACAGCTGTTTCGTTTGACCACTACGGGACTCCTCAGAAGTGCGTACCCACGACCCTGCACCACCAGGGATCGAACCCGCGACCTTCAGGTTCCGCGGCCAGCGCGTTATCATTGAGCGCGGTTGTGCTATATCGTGAGCTAACAAAAGCTGAAAATATGGACCACTGGATTCCGACTTAATGGCTCAATGGTAACGCGCTGGCCGCGGAACCTGAAGGTCGCACGTTCGATCCCTGGCGGGGCCGTGGGTGCGCACTGCTAAGGAGTCCCATAATGGGACGAAACACCTGTCCAGTGCTCCCAGATGTCCTTTGTTCCTCCAACTGATGTCAGTCTACGATGAATAACAACTTGAAATATTAAATATTCACTAAACATTAGACAGAATTAATATAGAGTTCACTGGTGACTAGGTTTGAGAGGTGATTCCAGAAGTTCCAATAAGAAGTCATGACCAGTGAGGCTAACCCAGTCGAACACAAAGAAAGATACCAATGACGACATTCAATGTGGGTTGCGCTATATCGTGAATTGACAGAAGTAGGAATATGGGCCACTGGATCCCGATCCAATGACTCAATGGTAACGTAATGGCCGCAGAACGTAAAGGTTGTCGGTTCCAGCACTGGAGGGTGAGGTCACGAGTGCACACTGCTGAAGAGTCGCATACTAGGACGAAATAACTGTCCAATGTTCCTCCAACTGATATCAGTCCATGATAAATTTCTAAGCCATTGGGTCAAAATGCAGCGGTCATAGGTATGCACTGCCAAAGAGTTTAGAGTGTTACCAGGTTTCCAATGTTCGTTTAACTAATGTCAGTCTATGATGAATACCAACTTGAAATCAATAAATCTCCAAAAACTTCCAGATAGAATTAATCTAGTGCTCATTGATGACTAGCTCTGAGAGGTGGTTCTTGAAGTTCCACTGAGAAGTCGTGACCAGTGGAGTTAACCAAGTAAAACATGAGTATAGCCATTCAACGATGATATTAGACGGCATTGGCGCTATTTCGTGAACTGATAGAAGATGGAAATATACACCATCGGATTCTACACAAAACCATTCTGATGTACTAGTCAAGCTCTTAGTCCAATCACTTAGACATTCTATCAAGCTCTACATTAACAGATATAAGGTGAAGTGATGTGAAACCCATACGTCTATTCGAATGTGGTGGTCACTAATAAACATCGGTGTTTAAGCTTCCATCTTCTCTCCTCTTAATTTTACAGTCGAACAAAGGTATTTCTCCTTCATTTTCTAATTCATAAAGGAATTGGAATGGATTTATTATGGAGTGATTATGTGCTAAAACACTCAGTATATGTTCTGATTTCAACAGAGCAAATGTGTCTTCTGCATACAGCCATCATATTTCTAGTATGGTTTGTAATATTCTTGCTAATTTCGTTCCCACCTGTCGACAAATATGTCAGCTACGATCTGTGATATTCTAGATCCTATCAGAATTCCTCCTGTTTCTTTAAATATTCTGCCTAGCATAATTTCTTCAACAGAAACTTTACTTCTCGATCTAAAGAATCTAAGGGCTGACATCATCACACTAATATTTGAAGCCAATAAGGAAGATTTAACGATAGTTATGAACAAAGTAGATTACTCTATGTAAGTCAACAGAGAGTTCCGATTCGGTTAGAACGTAAAAACAGTCAGAAATGACTACGTTACAATGTGAAATGAGTCAAAGACAAGAAATGGTTTGGATCAGAGTATCTGCAGAAAACCATCTCATTCTAAAAGATGTATAGCAGTTAGGCAGAGAAATTTAGAAGTTTACCAAATACCCACTAGTTTAGATTCTAAACTTTGGACAAATTCCATTCAATGATGTCGGCAGTTTCGGTTGGGATACCTGTACCATAGGTTGAAAATCAAGAGATTCAACCAACAAACCAATACTTTCATGTACAGTCTGTGAATTGGAACACTTCGGTCATTGTTATTAGTACAACTGCTTGTACTATAGCGTCGTTGGTTGAACCGAATTGATCAGTCTCTATTGGCATATTGGCTCTCGTGCGGATGCATCGATATTGCCAGTCTTTTAATTATATATAGTAATGATGGATAGAGGCTAGCAGTAGAATCCAGGATGCACATTTTGTTCAGTTTCTAACCAACTATTATTGTCGCTGAAGCATATAGAAGCACTGACTTGCTGAATTAGAGTTGAAAATCCAGATCTTGTTCCACATGCTTAGTACAGTAGATCTACATACTGATTTCAGGTCAATGAAGGCCTGTCACGCTGTCTTTCTGATCCTGGCTGGCTTTGATATCCTCATCTATGCCTGTGTCACCTGTAGTTGAAACGATATCACCCTGTCTAGGTAGGTGGAAGAGATAACTTGCTTCAGATTTCTCCCATTGATGATTATTGGTGCTTGTTTTTATTGTTGCTGTTTTTGTTGTTGGTGGTGGTTGGGTATCTTCATGAACTCTGTCTTCTCTACGTTTACTTGAAGGAAGTCCCGTCTTCCTTAGCTGCCCTGCCTCTTCTGTCAACTTGTTGGTGTTTGCCTGTAGATCTTGGAGTTTGTACGACTTTAAACATAAATCATCACCAGAGAAGTGGAAATGTTCTAGGATCTTTTCATCGGTGAAACAGAGTAGGCCCATCTTTTCGCTGCTCACAGTTTGTTGCATGACCCAGTCCAGTCAATCACAATCACGAAGATCATCACTTCAAAGGCATTGCTGAGCTTTCTATTCTGAATAATTTGTCATGTAGTCTCGTCATATAGCTGTTGAATGAGGTTGATAAATGTGTGTGGCACCCCGTAGTATTGAAGCTGACTATATATATATATATATATATATATATATATATATATATATATATATATATATATATATATATATCGGTATCAAATCATATAATTTTCATCATATTTTTAAAGTAAAATAATCCATTCATTATCTCATCACTTAAGTGATCAAACCAAATGTTACAGGCAGATCAACCTCGAAAAAATGTAAACGGTTACCATACACACATGGAAGCATTTAGCTACGCTTATGAAAGCACTAGTACATAAGCAGGTGCTTCACACATACACACATTAAGGCGTAAAGAAGCACTGAAGATGAAATTAGCCGCTTACCCTTTAATTCCTCTTCTTCATCTGCCTCAAACCTGTCTATTTCATCCTCATCTGTTTGTTCTTCAATATTATTAACGGAAGACTTTTCTGCTCTTTGTCTTGCCTTCATTTCACTTCTCCATGCTTTGGCTGTTTGACATCTGAAAATAGCATATAGAGTTATTCAGTTATATGATTGATTGGTTATTATATTGGAACAAATTGCAGGTAACAAGAATGATTCAGCAAGTTTCACAGAGTTATGGCTATTGACAATAAATTGGGTCGGAAGTGGCACCTAGTCAATAGAAAAAGTGCTGTGTGTTACACAAGATGAGTAAACTAATATTCAGGTTTATGGAGATGAATTTATTGATTTCAGGTTAGTATTTATCAAGGGCTGACAACGGTTGGAAGAGCACTGGAAGAGCCTTCGTTTACATGAACTGTTTCGATTGTTTATGGCAATGATAGGCTGTGGCTAGCAATGAAATCCAGGATGCGCGTTTATCCTATTTGGAATTCACCAGTCAGCTGGATGTACCTGCCTCCCAGTGAGTGATGTTATTCCCACCGGCACTCTTGGATTCCACTGCTAGCCACTATCCATCATTACTATACATAGTTAAAAAGACAGGTAATATCAAGGCATCCGCACAGGAGGCCATATGCCAACAGAGACTGATCAATTCGGTTCAATCAACAATAGTGTAATACAGGCAATAACACTAAGTGTTTTGACTGTTGTTATGATATTGAAAACTCTCTGTCAACGGTCTGTTTTCTCTTTTTGTTTTCGCGCGTCGGTGGTATTCTTGTTGTAATGGTTGACGTTCTTACTTGCATTAGAGTCGATTTGTTTACCCGTTAAGCACTTATAGCTTGTAGACTGTTATGTCATACTACTGGTTATAGCAGATTGATAACAGTTTTGTAAATTTGATCGGTAAAACTTGATTAGAACATGGAGTTTGACAGGTTTATCAATTGGTCTATTCGTAATTACCGAACGAAAAAAATTGGATAAATATTAGAGATTGACATAAATTTTATATAGAGAATTCATTGTCGATGGTAAAAAACAAAAAAGCCTTTCGGATGTTATAAACACGAGACGTTTCTTTGCTAACATTGAAGTAAAATCATGTGAAACGAACTACCATCAGTTTGCAAATTTATAGCCACTTCGATAATCAATACTAATTGATAAGAAGTTTTGCTTGGCATAGATTTCATAGAACATCGTATACAACTCTAGTCATAAACTAATCACGACATATCATCCACTAGGAAAGTTATATATAAACATAACAACTAAGTCTACATGGATACAAGTACATCCAATCGGTAATTTGCACATATAATAAAATCATACATGGAAAATTCAATTGTTCAATGATGTTTTAAACTCTTATTTTTCAAGGTCATTCGTAAGTGCTTCTCATTTGAATATACATGAACGACAACTTCAGGGTATGTTTTACAATCTCAATGAGAACAAAATCACTCACTAGATGTCGGGTATATCTAGTTAATAAGTCGAAAATTAGACGAAACACATATCCTGAATTTTATTACTAGCCATCATCAAGCAAATTTTAATACTTTTGTATTTCAAACTGTCTCTCATACAAAATTAAGCCTATTCAAATACTTACATTAGATAGAACAACTTGACAAACATAGAAATTCGTCAAAATATGTAAAGCATGACATTTAAAGAGTAGATGAAGAGAAAAAGTGATCGACATTGAATCATTCTGTCTTGATTCATTCTTATCTACAAGCATAGACTATATTCAAAGTATTATAATAATGTACAAAGTGTTTCAGTGGTTACATAGTATTTTTTTTTGCCTAAGAGTTATCGACCATCATTGAAGACTATATCAGTGTATTTCTTGTCATCTGGTTATCATTCCTATCAAATAGATAGACAAACAGACTAGTATAAAACAACTCATCGAATGATACTTGTTCAAGTTGCTTCATAAAGAATAAACAAACAGAAGTAAATGAGATGTTCAGAACTTTAACGACTAGGAATTGAGTTTTATTTATACAATTTATCATTTCCTAGTCTACCGAAAAAGGACTATGTGTTGTATTCAGCAGGGCTTTGAAAATCGTCAGTAGCTTGAGTGTTCTATCTTTGGCTCAACTAATTACAACTGCGGTTGATAGACATTTAAATTCTATCTAGCAACTAGCTACAGTAATTTTAACTGATATTGAGCATCCATTTCATTCACAGCTGCCTGCTTATATTTCATCAAGGAGGATAAGAAGAAACTATACTTGACTATACGACCCTAAAGCCAAGTACAAGAATTCGACTGTACCATATATAGTACGCATATAATCTGTGGAAAAAAGTCTGTAAGAACGCAACTCACAAATATCAACTCTCCATTACTTAACAATTTCCTTTACATAATTTAATTCATAATGTAAAATGTTCTCACCGGCCCTATTCTTTGCATTACTTAAGTATTTATAATAACATTACTCGAAATATTATAAAGGAGGATATACATGAACACCTGCATTGTTGTTATTGTAACACATTATTATTATTAACTTTCATTTCGCTTCCTCTAGAGCTACAGTAGCACGACTCCATTCCATACTGTTAATTCCAGTCGTATCAACGTGGCCCCTACACACCCACAAGCTATCATTTATTCATCACACCATCTCCTCCATGTCAACCACACCTCCAACCCCCAAATCCTCGTTTCCCCTTCCGATTCTAATCGATACCCTGTTAGACGCGTGATACAACCAGTCGGACTTCTCAGTGTTGTATGCATCCCCAATCCATTTCCACTTCCTTCCACTGCATATTTGTTCAGCGATAGCTTCTTGTCTCGTTGGTTCCTTCCCACGCTTCCTTGTTGCTTATTCTTATTACTCTGGCCATCCATCTGATCTTTAGTATCGAGCCACCGTCGACGGCAGTTGTTTATGAATGTCTGTAGTTTGTTGGAAGTACTTTTCGTGACATGCCAAGTCTCTCAACCATATACCAGCACTGACTTGATTGAATTAGTGTTGAAAATCAGGATGCTGTTCACGCTTTATGCTGAGTGCAGTGCAGTAGATCTCCACACTGGTTTCAGGTTAATGAACGCCCGTCTTGCATTTCCCATCCTGGCTGACTTTGACGTCCTCATTAGTGCCGCCTGTAGTTGAAACGATGCCGCCTCCCATATAGGTGGAAGAGGTTACTTCCTTTAAGTTTCTCGCGTTGATGATGATTGGAGATTGTTGTTGGTGGTGGTGGTGCTGGTGCTGGTGATGGTGTTGGTCGAGTATCTTCATCACCTCTTTCTTCTTTATGTTCACTTGAAATCCCGTCTCCCTTCGCTGCCCTACCTCTTCTGTTAACTTGTTAGTTCTCGCCTGTACATTTTTTTCGGTTTGTGCGACATAAGGAATTAGACATAAATGATCATCGGAGAAATCCAAATGCTCCAGGCTTTTTTCGTCGGTGAGAAAGCGTATGCCCATCTTCTCGCTCCTCACAATTTCTTTCATGATCCAGCCCTGTGCAGTCGAGTTGACCACAATGAGGAATATGATCGGTGTTAGTAGGCGGCAACCTTGTCTCACTTCTGTTCACTGTCTTCTCTTGACTTCAAAGGCATCACTGAGCTTTCCGTTGTGAATCAGTTAGCATATATCATCCTGTGGTATATAGCTGTTGAATGAGGTTGATAAAGATTTGTGGCACTCCATAGTATTCAAGCAATTGCCAAATTAATTCCTGGTCAACGCTGTCAAACGCCTTTCCAATGTCGATGAAGTTGAGGTAGAGAGTTGACTGCCATTCTATTCTCTGTTCAATGATGATGCGTAGCGTAACGTTGCAATTTGATCCGAACATGATTTGTTCTTCCTGAAGCCAGCCAGCCAGCCAGCCAGCCAGCCAGCCAGCCAGCCAGCCAGCCAGCCAGCCAGCCAGCCAGCCAGCCAGCCAGCCAGCCAGCCAGCCAGCCAGCCAGCTTGTTCCGGTTTTAATATTGAATGCAGATCATTTTTCAGTCTCTCCAGGATGATGCGGCATAATATTTGTTTTCTTTGGGTGGATTTGGGTGGAGCATGATTCCACGCCAGTTCTTGCAGTGACTAAGTTCACCATTCTTTGGAGTTTGACAAGGTAGCCCTTCTTCTAATCAATAGGCAGGTAACTTTACTTCCTTCCACACTTTCTGCGGTAGTGGTGTGAACATGTCCGCAGTTTTCTCTGCGTCTCTTCTCAGTGCTTCTGTCGGAATTCCATCTGGTCCTGCTGATTTCCCGAATTTCAGTAACCTTATGGCATTCAGGACTTCTGCTTTTTCGTAGGGCCTGTGTTCACTGGTAGTTCTGTCGTTGCTGGTGGTATTTCTGGACGAGTTGCAGGTGGTGGTCAACCCAAGAGCTTTTTGAATTGGTCAGCCCATCGTTTCCTTTGTTTCTCCTCCCTGGTGGTAACTATCTTTCCTTCACTGTGTTTCAGTCGTTTTGTCTACGTTGATCTGTTCCCAGATCGACAGTAACTTGGTTATTTGATACAATGTTGTCAAATCTCTCCTACCAGCAGCCTGTTCTCCTTTACCTGACAATGTGTCGTAGAAGTGTCTTTTTTCTTTGTGCGCACTCTTTTTCACTTCTTTATCCAGTGTTTTATACGTTTTACTCAGTTCTTCTTTTCGTTGTTCATCCTTGGACTGGTTCATTTTCTTCCTCATTATCTTCCTCTCGTAATATATATTGCTGAGAATTTCAAATTGTACCAAACGTCGTTTGGAATAAACTGAATATGATTATTATTATCATTTGTTGAGAAGTTGATGCTTTAGCTACCTATCTTCAACTATATCATTGAATTTAGGAACCAAGAGGACAACAATTAAACAACCTGAACTTCCATGCAAAGTTCCAATCTATTATTCACTATCAAACTATGTCAATTACATAAGAAAAAGATTTAAAAAGTAAGTAATATTTGCTTACTTGTAGCATGGAAATGAGCCTTCAACAGTTAGATATAGAAAATGACCATTTTTGCCTCCAAGACGAATTCCAGTTTTGTGCCGATATTCACAACACGTACTTATGCGTGTATACTGTTTCCCGTCAACATAAAAAGTTAATGAGAATGGAAAACCATAAACTCTTCTAGATGTAATCTGAAATATATCTGAAATGTTTGTACAGAAATAAAATATTTTTACTTAATATAAATGCTAAACATACTACTTAAAAACATTATAAATATTTCATATGAGAAAAGAAGTAAGTACTACACCATAACCCGTATACCAACTAAAAATCATGTACATGCAGGATATACTGTTTCTGTGGCAGTCAAAACTTAAGATGGACAGGAGTGGACTTCAATTCAGTGATCAAAATGCCCTAAGGTGTTGATGGAATTATATTATTATTATTATTTGTCTCTTGGGTTCCTAGTGGAATATTGGGCTTCACTAGCACGTCTCCATTCCACTCCGTTATTTCCAGTCCTTCCAATCTGGCTCCACCACTCCCCACAAGCTATCATTTATTCATCACACCATCTCCTCCATGTCAACCACACCTCCAACCCCAAATCCTCGTTTCCCCTTCCGATTCTAATCGATACCCTGTTAGACGCGTGATACAACCAGTCGGACTTCTCAGTGTTGTATGCATCCCCAATCCATTTCCACTTCCTTCCACTGCATATTTGTTCAGCGATAGCTTCTTGTCTCGTTGGTTCCTTCCCACGCTTCCTTGTTGCTTATTCTTATTACTCTGGCCATCCATCTGATCTTTAGTATCGAGCCACCGTCGACGGCAGTTGTTTATGAATGTCTGTAGTTTGTTGGAAGTACTTTTCGTGACATGCCAAGTCTCTCAACCATATACCAGCACTGACTTGATTGAATTAGTGTTGAAAATCAGGATGCTGTTCACGCTTTATGCTGAGTGCAGTGCAGTAGATCTCCACACTGGTTTCAGGTTAATGAACGCCCGTCTTGCATTTCCCATCCTGGCTGACTTTGACGTCCTCATTAGTGCCGCCTGTAGTTGAAACGATGCCGCCTCCCATATAGGTGGAAGAGGTTACTTCCTTTAAGTTTCTCGCGTTGATGATGATTGGAGATTGTTGTTGGTGGTGGTGGTGCTGGTGCTGGTGATGGTGTTGGTCGAGTATCTTCATCACCTCTGTCTTCTTTATGTTTACTTGAAATCCCGTCTTCCTTCGCTGACTCACCTCTCCTGTTAACTTGTAAGTTTTCGCCTGTAGATCTTCGAGTTTGTGCGACATTAGACACAAGTCATCAGCGAAATCCAAATCCGGTTATCTAGTTACTTAATAATCACTGAGTTAGTTGTGCAACAGCTGACACTGTCCTGCTGTATGGTTTTGAAACATAGCCGCTAAAGGTGAATAATACGAGAAGGCTCCAGGTAGTGTCATGAAACTAACACGCTAATAAATCATAGGTTATGCATAAAGTCTTGGATAAAAGGTGTACATGAGTTTGGTGAGGATGTAAACCGTCGTCAATTCGGGTCACTGTAAAATGTGTTACATATGCCTAGTTATCGTTTACCTTGATGTGTGAGACCTAGCGTCTAATTTGTATGTTACTTGTAAAACAGTATCAGGTTTAGACCAAGGACTGTTTTTTTTAATTTAAAAGTGGATATATTATCGTCAATGTGTTTACAACTACATCTTCAGCATGGACACATTCTTCTTACTTGATGATCCAGGACTGGTATCTAACAACTCCTAGTTTAATGATAATGAGTGATGTAGTGGAATGTGTTAACCACTTCACTTACTTGGTGAGTTGCATCAGTTCGAACGGGCTGACGCGTTGGTGACGAAATCTTAGCTTGGATACAGAACTCTCATTTAAAATTTGCCAAGTCGCGTCATCTGTGACCCCAAATGCCAAGGTATTCGACAACCTGTCAAATAACGAGTATACTGCACTGCAGCCCGTTCTATTCTCTTATACGGCTGCGAGACATAGACATTGAAGATATGAAGCGGTTAGTAGGTTTCGGTCACAAATGTCTTCGTAGCATCGCTCGCGTTTGGTAGAATGACCGAGTGATCATGTTGAGGTCCGGCGAAGAATACTAGGTGGCAAGACAGTTGAGTTGATTGATGAGGTTGTGAATCGTAGTCAACTGAGATGACTCAGATATTTACTGTGCATGCCAAGGCATCGCTTAACTACTAGGTTGGGATAGGGTTCATGGTAGCCAAACGAAGACGCAAAAGCAGTCAATAAAGTCCCGATTGTTGGTCTGAGCCGTGTAGGGAGATCTAGACAGACTGGCTGAGGTCTGCGAGACGAAAAGAATCAATGATTGAGGAGTCTTGATGACATGACTGAAAACTGATCAGAATGCGGGGCACGTATATTTACTCCTTGACATCTCCTAAAGCTTGAATATTTCCGCTCACTTTCATCTTCAAATTGTTTATTCTCTAGCACAACCTTGTCCACTCTGATATAACTATCTTTCTATCCATCTGTTCTTTGTATACTACTAGAAAGTGTGGTAACTTGGACCAATACACCTATGTGCAAGGTTCTATATTGATTTTTCCCGGCCAATCAGTCAGTCCGTACTTGAATATATCACCTGTAGGATAACTTACTTGTGAATAGTTGATCAGAATCTTAAAACAGCATAAATGGTTAAAATATATGGCTACTTGTGTAAAAGTGTATTGCGAACAGGCAGAAATATTACTAGGTAAGATGTCCTACACTACTTTTCAACTAATAAAACGAAAGGCAATCTAAGCATTAAACTGTAAGTAACCTGTTAGAGTAAAAATAATCCGGTTAACTTTACAACACATAGCTAACATGAAAATTCATGTGAAAATGCTACAAACACTTCAGTTTATGAGTTTGTGGAGATTTAGAGATTTTTTCCAAGTTGGCATTTATCATGAACTGACATTAGTTAAAGCGACATTGGATACCTGAGAGCAATGGATAACTGTTTCGTCCTAGTATGGGATTCTTCAACAGTACTCACTAACAACCCAAGGATCGAATCCGCTACCTTAAGATTCCGTAAACAGAACGTCACTATTGAGCCACTGGGTCAGCAGAATCCAATGATTCATATCTCCTACTTTGTCAGTTCATGATATAGTGCACGCATCACCAAATGTCACGGTTGACTATTTGTCCTCACGGCTAAAAACACTGTCATTAACGTACATGGATCGAATCTGTTGTATTCAAGAACTTTCGAATTGATTTGTATCAAATCACTTAGCTTCAAATGTCTGGGTTTGTTCTGAACATTTTAAAATCGATATGGTAACTATAACAACAATGTCAGGAGCTAATCTCTTAACTTATCTACACTTTTAAAGAATTTTTTTTTCAGTATAATTGATCGCATGATATAGTCGTTGATTGGACAGAATTGATCGGCTCTTTTGTGGATGCCTTGATATTGCCTGTATTCTAATTAAAGTAATGATAATTAGTGGCTAGCAGTAGAATACAGAGTGCACATTTCGTCCTATTTGCGACTTGTCAGCTGGATGCACCTGGTACCCAGTGAGTGTTGTTCCTGCCGGGATTCGAGTCCGGGACCGATCGCCCCCAACGCAAGAGTATTGTTCATTACACCACTGAGTCACAACAGTCAGTTCTTATGTGACGGGTATAGTTTTAGTATAATTTCTTGTACTATTGTATTGCCTGCAATACGCTCTGGCGTTTGAACCGCTCGGTCCCGAGTCCGAATACCGGTTGGGACAACATTCACTAGGAGGTAGGTACATCCAGCTGACGAGTCCCAAATAGGACGAAATGCGCATCTTGTATTCTACTGCTAACCATTACCCTCACTACCATAATTTTTTTCACCTACAGTTCTCGTTTCACTTCATCAATGAATAAAGACGGAATTACTTTTAACAATGTCATGTGACAACCTCCATGTATGAAGCTAGCAAGGTTGCCTAGATTGCAAAAGAGATGAGAAGGTAAGGCATAGAAGTGGTTGGAATCTGAGAAAGCAGATGGAATGGAAGTGGACTCTCCAAACTGTCAACTGAAGTGTTAATATAATCTACTCCGGTCACCCAGACGACAACAACCAGCACGCCGAGTTTCGGAGTGGATATCATCATGTCCTATTCTATAGCATAGAAGGCTCACTCCCATGCAGTGAGAACCAATCTCCTCCATGATTATGACAGCAACGTTCAAATCAAAAGGAAGGAAAGTCACAATCATACAATGCTACGCTACGCATCTACAAATAATGTAGATCGTCAGAAGAAGGAGGAATTCTACAGACAACTACAAGCAGTACAAGACAAGACCCCAGTTGGTGACATCGAAATTCTAATGCGCGACATAAATGCCAAAAGCAGGAAGAGAACCAACCATGGGTAGAGAAGCACTAGGAGAACTATTTGCAGACTTCCGCGCATTCAACGATTTGGTGATTGGAGGCAGTGTGTACAAACACAAGGATATTAACAAAGCGACATGGATTTCACCTGATGGACACACTAAAAACCAGATCGACTTCATCTCAATCTCAAGAAAGTGGAGATGCAGCCTACTTGACACAAGATCAAGAAGGGGAGCAGATGTAGGTTCACACCACTCACTATCTTGTGCAGGGAACCTACAAAATCAAGTTGAAAGCCTTCAAAGAAGCTGGTGATAGACCACAGTTCAAGTTCAACACCCAGAACAGAAACTGAAGGACGAAACTACAAAGGATATCTTCACGTCAGCCACCAGAACGAAATTGGAGACATTGAGCAACATCCTTGAATGATTTGGCGTGGAAGAACACAAACTGTTTGAAAGAGATGTGGAAAAAAATTTGCATAACCGTATTAGGTAGGAACAAGGAAGAAACAAGACAGGGAATGGATCTCGACGGACACATAGCTGACAGAGTAGAGGAAGCAGAAGAGGAACCAGTTCAAGGATGAACAACGAAAAGCAGAACTGAATAAAACGTATAAAACACTGGATAAAGAAGTGAAGAAGGGAGTACGGAAAGACAAAAGACACTTCTATGACACTTTGGCAAGTGAAGCAGAACAGGCTGCTGGTAGGAGAGATTTGATAACATTGTATCAGATAACCAGGTTACTGTCGATCTGGGAACAGATCAACGTAGACAAAACCAATGAAAGAATGAAGTGAAGTTAGTTACCAAAGATGAGGAACAAAGGAAACGGTGGGCTGAACACTTCAAAAGACCTTTAAATCGACCACGACCACGACCACGACCACCACCACCACCTGCAAATCGTCCAGAAATACCAACAGCAACGTCAGAACTACCAGTGAACACAAACACTCTGATCAAAGCAGAAGTCTTGAACGTCATAAAGTTACTGAAATTCGGGAAATCAGCAGGACCAGATGGAATTCCGACAGAAGCATGGAAAACAGACGCAGGGACAAAAGCAGATATGCTCACACCGCAACACTACTGCAGACGATATGGAACGAAGCAAAGCTTGTCAAACTCCCAAAGAATGGTGACCTAAGTCAGTGCAAGAACTGGCGTGGAATTATGCTCCACCCCATCCACCCAAAGAAAACAAAATATTATGCTGCATCATTCTGGAGAGACTGAAAAATGCTCTGCATTCAATATTGAAACCGGAACAAGCTGGCTGGCTGGCTGGCTGGCTGGCTGGCTGGCTGGCTTCAGGAAGAACAAATCATGTTCGGATCAAATTGCAACGTTACGCTACGCATCATCATTGAACAGAGAATAGAATGGCAGTCAACTCTCTACCTCAACTTCATCGACATTGGAAAGGCGTTTGACAGCGTTGACCAGGAATTAATTTGGCAATTGCTTGAATACTATGGAGTGCCACAAATCTTTATCAACCTCATTCAACAGCTATATACCACAGGATGATATATGCTAACTGATTCACAACGGAAAGCTCAGTGATGCCTTTGAAGTCAAGAGAAGACAGTGAACAGAAGTGAGACAAGGTTGCCGCCTACTAACACCGATCATATTCCTCATTGTGGTCAACTCGACTGCACAGGGCTGGATCATGAAAGAAATTGTGAGGAGCGAGAAGATGGGCATACGCTTTCTCACCGACGAAAAAAGCCTGGAGCATTTGGACTTCTTCGATTATCATTTATGTCTAATTCCTTATGTCGCACAAACCGAAAAAAATGTACAGGCGAGAACTAACAAGTTAACAGAAGAGGTAGGGCAGCGAAGGGAGACAGGATTTCAAGTGAACATAAAGAAGAAAGAGGTGATGAAGACACGCAACCACCACCATCACCACCAACAATAACAACAAGCACCAATCACCATCAATAGGAGGACTCTAAACGAAGTAGTCTCTCCCACCTACCTTCCTAGGCACCATCGTTTCAACTACAGGTGGCAGCACAGCCACAGATGAAGATGTCAAAGCCAACCACGATCGGAAAGACAACAAGACAGACCTTCCTGCATTAATCTGAAATCAGTGTGCAGATCTACTGCACTCAGCATAAAGAACAAGATATGGATTTTCAACACTAATTCAGTCAAGTCAGTGCTTCTATATGGTTCAGAGACTTAGCTCGTCATGAAGAACATTGACAACAAACTACAGATATCGTATATCAACAGCTGATGCCTTCGCTCACTCCATACTGAAGATCAGATCAGATGGTTAGAAATAATAAGCAACAAGCAACTCTGACTGGCTGGTAACGAAACAACCAAATAAGAACTTATCGTCCAACAAATACGCACCAGAAGAATGTGGAGATGGGTTGGATTGGACATACATACACTGAGAAGACGGTCTGTGGACATCACGCCTCAGGTCAGGTCATCGAGTTGAAGCCAAATGGGAAACGACGATTTGGGCGTCGGAGGGAGGCTGATATGTTTGAGATTATGTAAGGAAGAAATGAAAGCTTGTAGGCAGTCGTGAATCCAGGTTAGGACTGCAGAGAAGAGAGTGAAATGGAGACGTGCAACTGAAGCCTTATGTTCCACTGAGAACCCAAGGGTAAATAATAATAATGTCATGTGACAATGTTCCATGTCGAAAATGATAAAATGTATTGTCTGAGAAAGCCATACATTTGCATATCACATTTTCCTTTCACCTTTAAACATTATCGTGGATCAATGGCGCCGGTTTGTCAAAACATAGCTATCTCAGAAAGTTTCATCACTAATGAATACGCATGTCTCCACTTCTAATTCAGCTCGATTTGGACTGTGACGAACAGACCTATATAGGTAGGCAATATGATAACGAGGATTGGACATTGGTATATCATGCAATAACATGACGTCTTTACAAAACCCCTGACAAGGGGTCAACAGTGGGGCCTCGTATATCTCAATGGTTATAGCACTGGTGCAGAAATTTAGAAGTAGGTACTTTGAATCGTACCCTGGCTAAGGTTTTCATTTTGCCTTCAACTATTACACAGTTTTAATCATAAAATCTAAACATATATGACATGGAGTATTCAGTGTTGATGCTGAGACAAGGCCAAGCAGCCAGTCAATGAGAAAGAGTTCACAATAAAACGAATGCATGCCGACAGCTTACAGTTGTACCTCAGCTGAAATAGAGAAAATTTGAAGATTTTTTTCACTTTGTTACGATTTATTTAGTAAAACAATGTGAGCGAAGAAATATTTCTTTTCAATTAGTTCCTCATCAATGGCTCTACACTAACACATGGCATTTTCATAAACGTAAAATTACATACAAATCTAGTGGTGAGAGTTGTTTTCTGATGAAAGGTTATCAACCTCAAAGTATCAAGAAGGTGATAATTGATCAGGTAATTAATGCCGCCAAGTTATGTTGTGTTTTCTACAGCCGGCCGATGATGACCACACGAACTAAAGACAGACTCACTGACTTCTCCTCTTCTATGTGCATTTACCAGTTAGACTGCTGCTGTAGAGCTAGTTACATTGGACGTACAGTTAGGCAAGTCCGTCGTCGAATCGCCGAGCATCATCCTTCATGGCTAAGTAAGGGGCAAACCAGATCGATATGAAGCTTGATACTCTCTCATCTGATTGACACCGGCCACCGAGTTAACATTCATAATGCCTTTGAAGTTATTTATCACAGTGAGAGAGAGTGAGAGTTGTTCAATGAAAGGTTATCAATCTCAAAGTATCAAGATGGTGATAATTGATCAGGTAATTAAGACAGTTAACTAAAGCATAGATTAATTATCGTAGAAAGATTTTGTGAACAGGTTCTTACATAATTGATATTTTATATAATGATAACTAAAGAGCAAAAATGAACTGTTACGTAAAATGGTAAATTGTTGACTGTAATTAGAGACAGTAGGAGGAGAGAAAGATGACTAAGTCTGTAATAATAATAATAATAATAATAATAATAATAATAATAATAATAATAATAATAATAATAATGGAGCTATTGAAATATTAGTTATAGTGAATTGTGTGGTGGATGAAATGAAGTCTTGTTGTAATAAATGAGCTATACAGATGGCCAAGGCAAAGAAAGAGGCTGTACGAATCTCTTCTGAACATACAGACTTGGCTTGTGTAGGTGGATTCCTATGGCTTCTGCTGTATGTAAAAGACGGACTCGTAGAGGATCGGTGAGGTGAGAAGGAATGTGATAAATAACTTTAAAGGCATTATGAATGTTAACTCGGTGGCCGGTGTCAATCAGATGAGAGAGTATCAAGCTTCATGTCGATCTGGTTTGCCCCTTACTTAGCCATGAAGGATGATGCTCGGCGATTCGACGACGGACTTGCCTAACTGTACGTCCAATGTAACTAGCTCCACAGCAGCAGTCTAACTGGTAAATGCACATAGAAGAGGAGAAGTCAGGGAGTCTGTCTTTAGTTCGTGTGGTCATCATCGGCCGGCTGTAGAAAACACAACATAACTTGGCGGCATTAAATGATCTTCTCATGGCATTTCTTAAGCGTTCTGTCACAATTTCATTGATGATGTCACTTCGAAATTGTAGTCTTAGAAACAATGGTTTCTTGGAGACTGGAGGCATTCTGGTTTTCATATTGGATGTGTTCATATTTTTAGCCAGGAACGTTTCTGGATATCCATTACTACTGAGTAGATCGTGGATAATTTGAAGCTCTTCGTCAAAACTATCATCTGAACAGATGAGTCTCGCCCGATGGACCAAACATTTAACGAGATTTCGTTTATATTCCAAGGGGACCAAACTCAAGAAGTGGGTGTATTGACCTGTTTATGTATCTTGGTGTATCGCGCAGTGAAGTATCAAAAACTCAAGATTCTATTGATAAACAGAAAACTGCCACAGGTCGAATAAATGCAGTAAATGTTAGCAATCCAACTGTTACGAGTTAACATTCATAATGCCTTTAAAGTTATTTATCACATTCCTTCTCACCTCACCCATCCTCTACGATTCCGTCTTTTACATACAGCAGAAGCCATAGGAATCCACCTACACAAGCCAAGTCTGTGTGTTCAGAAGAGATTCGTACAGCCTCTTTCTTTGCCTTGGCCATCTGTATAGCTCATTTATTACAATAAGACTTCATTTCATCCACCACACAATTCACTATAACTAATATTTCAATAGCTCCACTATTATTATTATTATTATTATTATTATTATTATTATTATTATTATTACAGACTTAATCATCTTTCTCTCCTCCTACTGTCTCTAATTACAGTCAACAATTTACCATTTTACGTAACAGTTCATTTTTGCTCTTTAGTTATCATTATATAAAACATCAATTATGTAAGAACCTGTTCACAAAATCTTTCTACGATAATTAATCTATGCTTTAGTTAACTGTCTTAATTACCTGATCAATTATCACCATCTTGATACTTTGAGATTGATAACCTTTCATTGAACAACTCTCACCACTAGATTGGTATGTAATTTTACGTTTGAAAACGCTATATGTTAGTGTAGAGCCATTGATGAGGAACTAATTGAAAAGAAATATTTCTTCGCTTACATTGTTTGTTTTACTAAATGTCTATATGGGAATTTTCGCATTACGATTTATTTGTAAGCAACCGGTTCAGTTAAATAAAAATAGAGTAAATGTTACTGTAGGAAAAAAAAATTAAACTTGCTGCTTACCACCTGGTTGAAGTAAACCTTTAAAAACAGTGTGTGTATTTCCACCATTAGGCTGTTGAATAACTGTTATTAAACGAACTGATGATGGATTGCTAACATTTACTGAATTTATTCGACCTGTGGCAGTTTTCTGTCTATCAATAGAATCTTGAGTTTTTGATACTTCACTGCGCGATACACCAAGATACATAAACTTTACAATACATGAAGTCTAGAAAAGAATTCGTAAAAAAACATAGTGTGTGAATATAAACAGGTAATTAATGCATTATATTCATCTTAGCGGCCAGCAGTGGGATCGACGGCCTGAACTTCGTCCCATTTTGGACTCGTCAACTGGATTTATTTGCATCCTAGTTAGTTATGTTGTCCCCATTGAGAATCCTACACAGCCACCTATTGCGCAACATACACGCAGCCAATGAGTCTTAACTAGGACGAAACGTGTGTCCTCGACTCCACTGCTAGTCAACAAGATCAATAAAACATCATGAATATCTGGCAGTTTCAATCCAACCGTATAGAGGGCCACCTGACAACAGAGATCCAGCAACTCAGCCCTGTATAGTGACAGAAAATGACAGAAATGAGAGCTAGTTCATTTCGTCTTACTCTAAAACTGATTCAAAATGAAGAGGAACTTACCGGAGTCGAATGTAAAATAGTGGAGAATATTTGTAGCTCAGGTGAATGGTCTTGGTTGTATTGTGTTCTCTGAGCTGGGTTGTTTAATCGTAAAGTTTTCTACCTGTGATCAAAGCGAAAATTTGGATTCGCTATGTGAACGACACTTTTCCCATCCTTAAAAGAGATTATATAGAAAACACTTACAGTTTGGTCAACAACGTTTTCAGTCACAACAGATTCACAATGGAGAAAGAGTCAAATAACCAACTACCATTCCTGGATGTTTTAGTGAGTAGGACAAATTCCGGAAAGCTAAAAACCCAAGTGTACAAGAAGCCAATACACAATAATCAAATCCTCAACTACAGTAGAAACAACCAAACAAAGCACAAAATTAGTTCGATGCAGACTGTATTCAAAACAGCGAGAACAAACTGCGGTACAACAACTTCACGGAGAAACGATAAAATTACTTGATGTCCATCGTAACAAAGAACAGCTACACACGAAACGTTACTGGAAGACTCCTATCCCGTACAACATCAACTATGAAGTGGTCGACATAAATCAGTAAACGCATCATCCTACCATACATAAAGAATATATCAGAGATCACGACAAGATTACTAAGACCACATAGTTTTAGTGTGGCTCATAAACCAACAAATTCCCTCCAAACCACATTATGCAGAACAAAGGATGCAACAACCAAAGAATACAAACCGAATATCATTAACAATATCAACTGGAATAATTGTCATCAACACTACACTGGAAAACGTGGTCACCCTTTTCGACTTCGCCTACATAAACACCAATTGGCTATCAAACGTCATGACATCTCATCACTCATCGCTCAATCCACATGGATAACTATGAACACATATTCAATTTTCACAATGTAGAAATTTTAGACAATCAATCACCATTCCTGAATATATTAGTCAGTAGGACAAATGCCGTAAAACTGAGAACCCAAATGTACATATAGCCAATACATACTAATCAAATCCTCAACTACAGTAGCAACAACCCAACAACACGCAAAATAACTTGCATACAGACTCTACTCAAGAGACCGAGAAAATACTGCAGTAAAACAACTTCACAGAGAAAAACGAAGAAAATCACTTGATAGACATCTTAAAGAAGAACGCCTAACCATGAAACTTCATCAGAACATGCCCATCCCGTTCATCATCAACTGCCAAATAATCAACAGAAATTAACAAACGCATCATCCTACTACCATACATAAACAATATATCACAAATCACAACTCGATTGCTGAAACCACTTGGAATTCATGTGGCCACTCATAAACCAACAAATTCCCTACTAACCACATTATGCACATCAAACGATGCAACAACCAAAGAAGACGAACCGAATATCATTTACAAAATCAACTACAATAACTGTAGTCAACACTACATTGGACAAAGTGGTCGCCCACCTTCACCTTCGTCCACATAAACAACCATTGACTATCAGACATCACCACATCTCACCACTCGTCGCTCAATGCACGTGGATAACATCTATGCACATGAACTGAATTTTGACAGTGTAGAAATGTTGGATGGAGAGAGGAAAGACAAAGAATATCATCAGAGAATTCCTACAAGCTTCTCTTTCACGTCAGTCAGTTAGTCAGTCAGTCAGCAATCAACAGATGTATAGACATAGACCAAATCTATCAACCAACACGAAAAATCATAAACAACAGGAGGGTGACACGTGAAGCAGAGGAACAGTCAACATGAAAATCTATACAGTCAGTGAATGACACAACAGTTGAGGGGAACAACCAATCACAAACCAGTTGGTCAAGGCAAGCTACTACGTCACTCACTGAGAGATATTGACATCTCACTTCATAGTGAAGTTAGTGCTGATGATGTCGCTGTCTGGAAAGACGATGAAAGCTTCACGATTAAACCTCCCAGTTGGCTCAGAGAACACAACACAGTTAAGATGAGACTAAAATCTCAATTCTGTTCAATTCTTGTACTATGTAGATTTTGATGTTATTTTTAAGTTGTGAGTAGTTCAGAAGAATCGTTGAAATGAATAAAAAGAACGTTTGTTGATCACGCTCCGGAGTATTTTCAACACTGACTTTCATAAGCTTTTTATGTTCGGACAGACTGTCTAAGACTCTGTTTACAGTTAATATCAAATTCAACTACCTTTCAAAATAGTTTCAGTCACAAGCCATGCCACACTTCACAGCATCATTTAGACAACAAGTGGATAGAAAAAGAGACTGATATCAAAGTAGACAAAGTTGTGTGATATAATAAACAATTTGAAGATAATGGTTAGTGGAAATATTCAAGAGTCCTCAACCACTGATTTTCTTCATGTCGGGGACTCCAGCCAAGTAGTCCCTTGGCTAAGCACCGACGAAAAATATCAAATCTCACCACATAGTCGGTTTACTCTGCAGATCATAGGATCCTAACTATCTCCAAACTCCATTATACATATCAACTTAGGGATTTTAGTGAAACTAACTGGCATTATTATTATTACTATTGTTATTATTATTATTATTTGTTCCTTGGGTTCCTAGTGGAACATAGGGCTTCAGTAGCACGTTTCCATTCCACTCTCTTCTCTGAAATCTTTTCAACCTGGCTCCACGACTGCGCACAGGCTCTCATTTCTTCCTCACACGATCTCCTCTATGTCACCCTCAGCTGGGACGCCTAACTCGCCGTTCCCCATTTGATTTTAATCGAGAACCTGGTCTGGCGCGTGATGTCCCCAATTCGTCTTCTCAGTGCATACCAGTTCAATTCATCTCCACTTCCTTCTGCATATTTGTTGAGCGATAGCTTCTTGTCTCGTTGGTTCGTTGGCAGGCCAGAGCTCCTTGTTGCTTATTCTAATTATTCTGGCCATCCTAGCTCCAGTAACGAGCCAGTGTAGGCAGTTGTTGATGAATGTCCGTAGTTTGTTGGAAATGCCTTCCATAACACGCCAAGTCTCTCAATCATACAGAAGCACTGACTTGACTTAATTATTGTTGAAAATCCGGATGTTGTTCACACTTTATGATAAGTGCGGTGCAGAAGATCTCCACACTGGTTTCAGGTTAATGAATATGAGGCCTATCTTGCTTTACCGATCGTGGCTGGCTTTGATATCGTCATCTTTGCCTGTGCCGCCACCTGTAGTTGAAACGGTGCTGCCTAGATAGGTGTAGGTGGAAGAGGCTACTTACTTTAAGTTTCTCCTGTTAATGGTGATTGGTGTTTGTTGTTGATGCTGTTGTTGGTTGGGTATCTTCATCAACTCTGTCTTCTCTACCTTCACTTGAAGTCCCGTCTCCCTTCCCTGCCTCACCTCCTCTGTCAACTTGTTAGCTTTCGCCTGTACATCTTCACGTTTGTGAGATATCAGACACAAGTCATCAGCAAAATCCAAATCTTCCAGTCTCTTTTCATCGGTGAAACAGCGTATGCCCCTCTTCTCGCTCCCCACTGTTTGTTGTATGATCCAGTCCAGTTGACCACAATCACGAAGATCATGGGTGATAGTTGGCGGTAGCCTTCTCTTACTCCTGTCTTCACTTCAAAGGCATCACTGAGCTTCCCATTGTAAACTACTTGGCATGTGGCTTCTTCATATAGTTGTTGAATGAGGTTGATAAAGGTTTGTGTCACTAAAACCGTAGTGTTGAAGCAGTTGCCTGCCAAATTACTTGTCGGTCGACGCTGTCGAAGGCCTTCTCAAAGTTGATGAAGTTGAGGTACAGATGCAGTTGACTGCCATTCTATACTCTGTCCTATGATGATGCGTAGAGTGGCGTTGCAATTTGGTCCGCACATGATTTGTATTTCTTGAATCCAGTCTCTTCCGGTTGTAGTTTTGAATCCAGTGCATCTTTTAGTCTTTCCACGATGATGCGGCATAATATTTTGCTAGGCCCTGTCCTGGCAGATATCTTAATGACAAAGCTCGAAAACAAGCCACTTAAAGAAATAATTTCGAAACTTTATTTGCATTAAAGGTACATGAACGACACTTTCTTTATTTTTGCGACGAAACATGTTCAGTGGGCCAACGGCTAAGAAGTTTCAATTATTGTTACCTGTCCATTACATTTATTGTATCGTTCCACTTTCTAAACATAATGTTAGGGAGATGGAATGATGGCTCGATTCAAAGGTCAGTCTATCAAAAACCAACTTCGACCGGTCAGTTCACTAACTTTTATAGTTGGGTACCTCTTGGTTGTAAGAGAAATCTCATTCACTCACTCTGTTCCAGAATCTACAGAATATGTTCACAAGATACGGTGGATGCTGAAATCGAAACTCTTAGAATAATACTATCTAATAATGGATACCCTAAGAGATTTATTGACAAGAATCTGAAGAAACGAACCACTCCCCATCCCACTACACTTCCTAAGAAAATCGTAACCATGAATCTAGAATTCAAACGAGACACCACAGCCAAAGTCCTGAAAAATCATCTGTCAAGATGTATCAATAGTAACTTCTATGCTGCTAGACTGAGACTGATATTCTCCAACCACTGTCTGATTCGTCAATGCGTGAAGGATAGGCT